TGAAAGTGGCATTGTGTGTCCCATATTGTGCTAATGGAGACATGTTCCGTTGTGAATGGGTGGAGTTCCCAACCCCACTCTGCACACATGAATTAGCATTCGAAGTAAGCACATGCACACGAGTGTCCAAACAGAGGGAGAGTGCATCTCAGCACCCTGCACACTAGATTCAACAATGGGCTTCTTTGCTGGGAGCTCCCATGGTGTGCAGGGGTTGCCAACCACCTGCATGAGCTCTTACCATCCTATCTTCCCTCGACAGCGGAACTGCAAGGACCCCCCTCTGTTTGGACACTCGTGTGCGTGTGCTTACTTTGAATGCTAATTCATGTGTGCAGAGTGGGGTTGGGAACTCCACCCATTCACAATTATAATGGTAGCGTCCCCTGAAAAACTGACATCAAGGGGAAACATAACAAACGCCCTAAAACGTTTGCTCGATGAAACTTGCTCGAGGGCAGAGGTACTTGAAGCTGTGGAGGGCCTTTCTCAGACCATCTGCACCCAGGTGAATGTCCATCAAACAGTTCTCTCTGTCCAAGTTCCAGGAGAAGATTGCCTCAGATAGTCTGTCCCCCAGCTATTTATGCCTCAAATAACAAAGAAAAGACTGATTTTGTAAAATTTTTGTTTATTTACAATGTTAAGTGTTACAGGAAAATCAATTTAAAAAGTTGACACCTTTTTTGTTTTTCAAAGTTGCAGCATTTTGGTGTTTTAAAATACGTGTAAAGAACTCAGAATATACCTGATTCCAGTCTTTCTGGTGGTTTGGATTGGTAAGGTGATGCTTTTGTATATTTCTATTTTTTTTTCCAGCCCTTTGAACATTTTCAGGTAAGGCAATCTTGTTGTTGTTGTTGTTGTTGTTGTTGTTTTCCTTTTAAAATTAGGCTTCAACGAAACAAAAGACAATCTTTAAACTTATCTGGGTTTGGTTTTCAGAGTAAAACTTTTAACCATTGAATGCTGATGTTTTCCAGATGCCAGTCAAATGAATGTTTAGGAACATATTCATGCTCTCTGCACCCAAAGGTTATGGATTCTATTCAGACTAAACTCAGGATTCCATATTGGGCCACAAAACCTCTTCCCATTGCCCCACCTCTATTGTGTGTCTGAGATTAACTTGCATGACACCCCAATTAATAATTATGCCTTCTGACTCTGGAATCTTGCTCCTTATATGAAGCTAAAATGACTTCTGGTAATGTCTGAGAGGCAGAGTGACAACTGTGACTATATGAAAAATCATGGGACTTCCTGTCAACTCTGCTTTGGTAACAAGTGGTGCCTAGGCACTAGCTCATAAGTTTAATAACCCATCATTTCAATTTACTTCTATTCATTGACCAGTTGCCTTCTCCAGCATCTAGTCAGTTGACCTGCTTTTGTTTGTGCCCATCACAGCAGGAGACATTTCTCATACAAAATCTACACCTGCAAGGTCTTCCAAAGTTTTACCCACATTTAAAGAGCTCACACTTCCCATGTGATGTTTGAAGTGTTGTTGTAGCCATGTTGGTGGTCCCAGGATATTGGAGAGACAAGATGGCTGGGATGATGTCTTTCAGTGCCCTGAAAAAGAGCTCTGTGGAGATTGAAAGCTTCTCTCTCCCACCAATAGAAGATATCACCTCACCCACCTTGTCTCTAACTTCCCATTTGAATCCGATTGACTAGTTGCTCACTTCTTGGGATTTTTACAGTGTTTATTGGAGAGAACTGCCAAGCAAGGTCTCTCTGAAGTGCCAACATAAGCTATTCATCCATGCTGATTAATTCTGAATTTAGATTGTTGTTGGTGTGTGTGTGTGTATGTTTTTTCTTTTCTTTTTTAACATGTCGGGAAGGGTGAGACTTTCATTGTGGACAGAATGAAGACATCCGCTCAAGGAGGAGCAAGAATGTGGCTGTGTGATGCAGTGAGCAGGAGTTAGAAGATATTCCAGTGCCATTTATGTAAATACTCGACTACTGCATAGGGTGACCAAATGTCCTGATTTTATAGGGACAGTCCTGATTTTTGGGTCTTTTTCTTATATAGGCTCCTATTACCCCCCCCCCCCCATCCCGATTTTTCACACTTGTGTCTGGTCACCCTACTACTGCAGCTAGTTTTGCTCATCTGATTTATTAAGACATTGCACAGTAACAAGGCTGCTTAAATGAACTGTCTGTGCTGCAGTGGGGATTTCAATCTTCTGCTTCAGTATAATGGTTGCATTCAAGCAGTCCAAGTCATAACTAAAAGAGGTCCAAATCAGGGATCTGACTCAGGGTTGTCCCTACCTATGGTGGTGCCCTACACAGCCCGAGCACCTGCACCCCCCTCTGCAGGGGGAGCGGCCACTCTGCTGGGGGGCTGGCCTCTCCGCGGTGGGAGGGAGGGGAGAGAGAGGAACTGCGCTCAAGGGCTGCAGAGGCAGGAGCTGTGAGGGGGCAGCGGCAGGGCTTGGAGGCCCAGGGCAGCACGGCGGATTAGTGGTGGGCCTGGCGCTGGCAGCAGGAGTCGGGCCTGCATGCACCGGTGGCAGCGGGAAGCAGAGCGACCCGGCACCAGACCGCTCCGCTCCCCTCCCCAGCTCCCAGCCCTGTCACTTGGGGCAGGGGGCTTGGAGGAAGGGGTCAGGCCTGCCCCTGCACTCGGCGGCGGTGGGAAGTGGAGCAACACAGCTGGTAGCTGGCGGAGCAGGCTAGGGCCAGGTGGCTCTGCTTACCGCCCCCGCTGCTGCTGGTGAGTGCGGGGGTGGGCCCGACCCCTTCTGCTGGCTCCAGTACCCCCGTTAATCCCGTGGGCTGCGTTGCTCGGGGGAAGGAGTGGAATGGGGGCAGGACGGAGTGGGGGGCTGGCCGGGGGATGGGGCTGGCTGCTGCGTATTCTGCGTATGCCTAAGGATGGCCCTGATCTGACTGTCTTCAGACAGGCCCATGGGCTTGCAGGCACTGAACTCTGAAATGACCCCATCCCATGCCTTGCAATTCTTCCCACTGATCAGAATTGTCCATCCTCTCCTACGTTACCCCATCACCTCAATCTGCTCCTTTTCTTATTGCTCCCAAGTCCCTAGTGTGTCTGCCCCTTCTTCCTTCTACTAATATCTCTACTCACTTAAACTTGTCTGCCTGCATACGCTATTCCCTAAGGCAGTTGACCGTCTCTTTACATGTGCTACTTTTGGGGCCATGGGCTCAGCCAGAAGAGAGAGTGGAGTCTCCAGGCAGACCGGCCGAGAGAATTTGAGGACAGGGATTTGGAAGTTCTCCTATCTCTTCAGTACCTCAACTCTCTCAGGTGCTCACCTCAACAAGCCAATCAGATATGAGAGGAAGGGCCAGTCAATAGCATTCCTACAAAGCTTTCGGAACTTGTGGGAGCTGCTGGGTTGGGATTTATGTCCATTATCCAGTAAAGGGTAGTAAAAAAATTACTAGAGAGATTTTTTTTTTTGAGTTGGCAATGTTTCCATATAAAAGGGGTTTGAAGAAGCTAGAACTACTTAGTTTGAAAAAGAGAATGAGAGGAGATGTGCTCTGCTCTGTCCCATAATATGGGAATAGAGTGGGATGGGATAGGAATACAGGAATAGGATGGGCAAATGCAAAAATAAATACTTTTTAAAAAGGAATGTCCAGTTAACCTAGGGAACTCACTGCTGCAAGATGTTACTGAGGTGAATAGGTTGGTGAGAGTAAATAAAATTGACTAATAGCAGTTTAGCATTTATTTGACTAAGAATAGTATCTGTAAGGATAAAATTACAAGGGACAATGATCTCCATACTTCAAGGCACAACCAGTTTAATAGCTACAGATAGGAAATAATCTCCTCCTCCATCCTTCTTTACAGAATACAGTAGCACAATCTGCTACTTTTTTACATCTTCATATGGTGCATTCTCCATTAGTGACTGTTGGAGACTGGACCGGTGGGCTACTGATCAGTTCTGATATGGCAATTCCTATAGGATGTGTCCTGGATTCTGTGGGATTCGCTCCTTTTAAGGTTCAATTTATTTTCCAGAGACCTCTCATATAGCATGGGAATTTGATTCACATGCAGGCTGTTTGTGCATTGGTATTTTCCTTCACATGCATTTGAGACTCTTTGTGGCTTTTAAGGGCTTGTCCTCGCTAGGTTATTTTTTAAATTAAAAAACATGGGATTTCCTGTCAACTCTGCTTTGGTGACAAGTGGTCAAAGAATTTACTCAGAAATTCCTCCTAGCTTTAACTGGACCAACTAACACGCTCTAAAGTACAACTGCTTTGTCTCAACTAGAGTTCTCAAAGGAGTTAATTAAATGGAGTTAGGTAACTGCATCTAACATCACACCTTTAAACCCTAATCTAGACAAGGCCAAAGAGACTGTAGGCCTGGTCCAAAACCCACTGACGTCAACAGACTCCCATTGTCTTCAATGAGTTTTGGATTAGGCCCTATGTGCATAAAGCAAATGTGTGGTGCATATTTCTGTGCATGCTGAAGTTGTAAATGTGGGGCACAGGGACTATGGCACTAATTATTCTGCCATTAGTTGCATTATTTTCCAGAAATGAAAATAATTTCTGGGATGATGGAGGGAGGTTTTTGATGATGGAGGGAGGTTTGATGTCCTCGGGACTGACATATGATGGAGTGTGTTTTGAGAGAGGCTGTGAAGGGGCAGAACAGGGGTGCTAATGGAGTTGTGCACAGGTATGAATTATCTATCCTGTTTGATTTCCATAAGCGGTCTTGACTAAATTAGTCAAAACAGGTTGACCACTCAGCTGCCTTTCAGCTTAAGTCAGCAGAGTATGACACAGGTATTCTGGAGGCCCTCCACGCACATAGGATGTGTCAAAACCCTTTTAGTCTGAATAAAACCCTACCTTTTGAAGGCTACCATGAAAATGTGACCCTCTTTGGGTTTCCCAGTGAAATGTTTTGTAAGGCATTGTGTCAGCATTAGAGATTGACGAATGTACCACCTTTTTTTTGCATGTGGGAGGGGGATGATGTCTCACATGGCCTCTCTCATTTTGATGGTGATCTTGGACAAAGCACTTAAAGCTACACACTGTTAAAATCTAAATAGCAATACATTAATAAATGTCTGGTACAAAGACCTGATAAATGTAACCAAACTGAGTCAGAGTTTACACTAAAACTGTGTCTTGTAACTCAGTCTCTTTTTTTATTTAGAAAAAGTGAAAAATACTACAATGTAGTATTGAGTTACTGTACTTATTGTGCTTTCTTATTGTTCAGAACCCCATTGGCTGCAGCAAAGTAGTCTTTATGGAAACCATTCCTGATTTCTGTCACAGGAGGGACCTTCTTCATATCGGTTCTTGAAGGCCTTTTCTGGTACGTCTATAAAGAGCAAAATCCCAAGGTAAATAATTGGTTTAATTTAGTAGAAGCGCGCACGCGCACACACACACACACACACACACACACACTGTACTTCTTACAATTAATTGTAAAAGTTTGACTTGAGCTCTCAGCTGTTCTCTAGAGGCAAATATGTATATGCTTACAGGTTGAACTAAGGGAGCTATGCTATGTACAATATAGGGTGCATTTATTGGTATTACTGTAACACCTAAAGATCTCGACTAAGACAAAGGACCCATTGTGCTAGGTGCTGTATGTACACCTAGAGCAGGGGTCTCAAGCATGCGGCCCGCGGGGTTCTTTTGTGCGGCCCGCCGAGCTCCCCGCCTACCCCGCAGCGCCATGAGCCCCGCGCCGCTCCCTGAAGCAGCGGACTAGATACTGGACTCTGGACTAGATACTGGCGTTGTCTGTGGCTTTTAAAAAGAAAAAAAGCCCTTTTCTTTACAGGTCTGTCCTACTGCTTTTTAGCCACTCAGGCTTAGCGTCCTTTCTAAGTACTACCATCCCTGCAGCCCCAGGCGGGGGGGCAGGGGGGGAAGAGTAGAGGGCTCTCACTTCCAGGCACTGCCCTCCGCAGCTCCCATTGGCCGGGAACAGGGAACCGCGGCCAATGGGAGCTTTGGGGGAGGTACCTGGTGGAGCAAGAGCAGCCAGGGGGCGGTGTCCCCCCCCCCCCCCCCCGGGACTCCGGCCGCTTCCTAGAGCGGAGCCAGGGCAGGCAGGCAGGGGTCCTGCTCTGGCCACGGGGCATGGCGCTGCCACCCCGGAGCTGCTCTAGGTAAGTGGCGCTGGGCCGAAGCCTGCCCCCTGCACGCCAAACCCCCTGTCCGGAGCCCCCTGACACATCCCACACCCTCCCGCACCCCAACTCCCTGCCCTGAGCCCCCTGCCACACCCTGTACCCCAACCCCCTCCTGCACCCCTCACCCCAACTCCCTGCCCTGAGCCCCCTGCCGCACCCTGACCCCCTGCCGCACCCCTTGCCCCTCCTGCACCCCACACCCCAATTCCCTGCCCTGAGCCCCCACCACACCCCTCCTGTCCCCTCTGGGCAGGACTTCAGGGAAGGGGTTGGAATGGGGGCAGGGAAGAGGTGGGGCAGGGGTGGGGCCTCATGGAAGGGGTGGAGTGGGGGCAGCGAGGGGTGTGTGTCAGTGATGCGGCCCTCGGGCCAATGCACTAGTCCTCATGCGGCCCTTGTGGTCATTTGAGTTTGAGACCCCGACCTAGAGTAAGAAACAGCCCCTGCCCCAAAGACTGAAATAAACAACACAGGCCAAGGAAGTGCTATTATCCCCATTTTCCATATGAGGAATCGAGGCACAAAGAGACTGTCCAAGGTCTATGGCAGAGCCAGAACTTTTGAGTCACAGTCCTAATACTTTACTACCTCACAGGGCTCTTGTAAGGGTTAATTTAATCAATGATTGTGAGGTGCTCAGATACTGGAGTGATAAGAACCATATAAAAGCCTAGAGGGAGGGAAAAAGTAAAACATTTCCCAAAGGCCACTAAATGGCTGTAAGATACCACCATGATGGGTACAGGATAGGAACACTAATAGAACAGGATGATGGGTCACTTCTGCTTAGACCAGAACCCTTGAGCTACTGTCTTCTGTGTACTGTAAACATCACTGTGCCTTTCATTGACTGACTGTACTTTGTGTATCTCTCATTTAATTTTCTTCCCTTTTGATTTTTTTAAAAAGAATATCTTTATTTTAAGCAAACATTTATTTTAACAAGTATCAGAGAGGTAGTTACGTTAGTCTGTATCCACAAAAACAAGGAGTCTGGTGGCACCTTAAAGACTAACCGATTTATTTCTGCAAACCTCAACCTGATTATTTTAAGACTTCAGCAGGCTCCAAAGCCCATACTGTAGAGCTGATATTTTTAAATGATATGATTTAACTTTCCTGTCACCTGTAATTTCTAAAATTATTTTCCATTTACAAACTTGAGAAATGTAAATTGCACCTGACACTTCTTCAATTTGATGCTCACTTTTAGAGCTAAGCACCAATGCCTGTCGACTTTTTCTAACGATGCTCTTTCTATGTGAGTCTCCCCAAAAATATTAAAAATTTATAAAGGTTCCTTTTCTTTCACCCTCCTCTCCAACCTCTAGCCAGAGTCCTTTACTTACAACTAGTAATGTTTGCTGATGTATGACCATATTTCATCTGAAGAAGTGAGGTTTTTACCCATGAAAGCTTATGCCCAAATAAATCTGTTAGTCTTTAAGGTGCCACCAGACTCCTTGTTGTTTTTGTAGATACAGACTAACACGGCTACCCCCTGATACTTGACATATTTCTTTGACTCACATAAAACAGTTTGTGGTCTCTCAATAGGCCTGTTTATCATCCCAACTGGTAAATGAGAAACTAGATGTTAATGGGCATGCATTCTACCGAGGAAAATGCAGACAAGTTTAAGTGGGCATCTATGCTGATCAGCAGTTAATCTCTTTTCAATAATTAATAAAATTAATATTATAATAATTATTAATAATAGTCTAAATACTGATTTAAATAAGATCAGGGGCTATCGTGTTGTCTTTGACTTACCCTAAGAGATTAGGTAAGGCACGTCTAAACTGGCAGAGTTACATCACCAGCAGTTACAGGGCCGCTCAGAGAGCGCTGAAGGGAAACCGCTGTTGTGTGTTCACACTATTAGCTGCCTGCGCAATAGCGTGTTCACACTTGAGGCACTTGCAGCGGTATTCGGAGTGGTGCACTCTGGGCAGCTATCCCACAAAGCATCTCTTCCTCTTTTGCCACTAAGAGTTGTGGGAAGGCGGGGGGGGGGGGTCCACGGGGCATCCTGGGTCCTGTCCCAAGGCCCTGTGATGCATTGCTTCACATCCCAGCAATCCCTGTGCTTCCGTCCACGTTTGGCGCCATCTTTCAATGGTTTGTGTACTGCCTGCTCTGCCTCTTCAGTCTGCAGGAATGGATCCTGCACTGTTGACCAATATGCTGCTTGCTCTCACTAACACGTCATGAGTGGCAGTGGAGTTATTCCTTAAACTACAAAGGCAAGTGGAGTTCAACATTGATCTCGCCACACATAGTAGCTTTTGGGCTCAGGAAACCAGCACTGAGTGGTGGGATCACATCATCATGCACGTCTGGGATGATGAGCAGTGGCTGCAGAACTTTCGGATGAGGAAAGCCACATTCATGTGTGATGAGCTCGCCCCAGCCTTGTGACGCAAAGACACGAGAATGAGAGCTGCCCTGTCATTGGAGAAACGCGAGGCGATTGCACTGTGGAAGCTGGCTACTCCAGACTGCTACCGATTGCTCGCTAACCAGTTCAGAGTGGGAAAGTCAACCTTTGGACTTAGGTTGACGGAAGTGTGCAGGGCCATTAATCGCATCCTTCTCCAAAAGATCGTGACGCTGGGCAACGTGCGTGAGATTGTGGATGGCTTTGCACAAATGGGCTTCCCTAACAGCAGAGGGGCGATAGATGGCACACATATTCCAATTCTGGCACCAGGCCACCGAGTACATTAATCTAAAGGGGTATTATTTCTCAATGGTTCTCCAGGCGCTTGTTGATCACTGTGGGCGTTTCACGGACATTAACGCAGGCTGGTCTGGAAAGATGCATGACATATGCATCTTTCGGAACATTGGCCTGTTCAGGAAGCTGCAAGCAGGGATTTTATTCCCGGATCAGAAAATCACCATAGGGGAATTGGAAATGCTCATTTTGATCCTGGGAGACCCCGCCTACCCCTTAATGCCGTGGCTTATGAAGGATCACACGGGGCACCTTGATAGCAGCAAGGAGCATTTCACCAACAGGCTGAGCAAGTACAGAATGACTGTTGAGTGTGCTTTTGGCCATTTAAAGGCCCACTGGTGCTACCTAGCTGGGAGGCTGGACCTGGCCGATGACAATATTCCTATGCTTATAGCTGCCCCATAATATTTGTGAAGGGAAGGGTGAAAGCTTCACTCAGGGTTGGACCACTGTGGCTCAGCGCCTGGAGGCTGAATTTGAACAGCCAGAGACCAGGGCTATTGGAGGGGTGCAGCATGGGGCCATAAGGATCAGGGTTGCCTTGAGGAAGCAATCTGAAGCTGAAATCCACTAATTTGTTGCTATGCTCAGGAGTGTAGTGCTTGTAATGCTAGGAGGTGATTGTGATTGGTGCAGACGATGCACTATGAAGGTTTAAGAAAATTGCCTGTTGCTTTGCAGGGCTCTCTTTGCTTTCAGTTGATGGAATAAAGATTGCTTTCAAACCCAAACAATTATTTTATTAAAAAACAACAACCGGAGGAGAGAGACAAACAAAAAAACACATCAGCACTGTGGGGGAAAGGGGGGGGTCCCGGGACGGTTAAAGATTTGTGTATGTCCAGGTATCATATGCAACCATGTCCTTTGGAGTACAGTGCAGCGGGTACTGTTCTGCAGCAAGGCTAAACTGCAGAGGGATGGGTGTTGAGTGCAGTGGGTAGTGGGAGTCCACAGGGCTGGACTGTGACGGGGGAGGAGTGGAATGCAGCGGGTACAGACTGGAGCCAGGTAATTGATAAGAGTGTGTTGGCAGTGTCTGGGGGGCACATGGGAAAGAGTTTTGCGACAGCGGTTGCAGGGGAGGGCGGGCGCGGAACTGCTCGGTTTGCACTGCTAGTAGCGCCTGGAGCGTGTCTGCTTGGTGCTCCAAGTGGCTTTAAGAGCCGCTTCGTTCTGGTGCGCCACATTCTCCTTTCGGTCCCTCTTCTCGCTGTCCTGCCACTCCTTCAATTCATGTTTTTCAGCCGTGGAGTGAATCATAACATCACGCAGAAAATTCTCTTTAGTTTTTCGTAGCCGCTTTCTAATTCTGCGCAGCCGTTCAGCCGGCAATAACAAAGAGGGAGGCTGGGCTCCCAAGGTCATCTCTGTGAAGCCAAAATGCAACATTTTACAGAAGCAGTATTTGTTTGCAACATGCAGGCCACTGATTCAGTGATTTAAAACACAGCCACTATTCACATACCTGTCACTAACTGGCTAACCCCAGACAAGCACACATGAGCCACAAGACCCCCAAAATGGTGAGTAACCGCAGAGGCAGGAGAAATCACTCTTCCCGGATCCTGCTGTACACTGGACATGTAGCTCTTGGGGAGAGCCAGCACTGTAGGGGGGACTTTATAATCATTACTGTCCCATAATGAACACAGCCTGTGGAAAATGTGGGAAGATATCTCACTGCTGAGGGTGAGCAGGGAATCAAGGGAGGGTCTTCTCCAAGACTGTGGCTTCCACCTTGGCCTTTATGCGGCTCGCCTGTGTGCAGCAATAGTCCCCCAGAGTGACGACAGAGTGGCGCAGAAAAGTTACCCTTAATAGGGCAAGAAACAAAGCAGCTCTGCCAAAGAACCTGTGGCAGTGGATTGCCCAGTAGCTTCATGAGAGTTTCATGGAGGTCTGAGGCAGATTCCCATGAAGTGAGGGAGTCAATCAACACCCTGTTCTGCTCAGACTAGGTACGTGGTGGTACGTGCATCATACAGACACAAGCCTGCTTGCTGCAACCCTCCTGCCCCCAACAACTCGCTTCAGCAATTCCCAAAATCAAAGCCACTTACCAGGGGCTTCCTCTCCTGTTTGCGCTTCACCAAGTTCCGACCGCTGTGACTGGCTAGCCTCCTCTGGGGTAGAGAAGGGCTCCTGGCTGCATGCATCTCTGGCCTCCGAGTCATCCTCTGCCTCTGGGTCCCCCTCCTCATCCAAGATTTCCTCTTCCTGGCTTGGTCCACCCTTGACTGTCACACGAGCCACCAAAGTATCCACAATGGTATTCGCAGTGGAGGTGGGGTTGCTGCCAAGTATTGCATCCAGCTCTTTATAGAACCGGCAGCTCGTGGGCGCAGCACCAGAACGGCGGTTTGTCTCCCGCACCTTGTGGTAGATGTTTCGCAGCTCCTTCACTTTGACCCTGCACTGCAGTGTGTCCCGGTCATGGCCCCTTTCTGTCATGCATCGTGAAATCTGTCCGTAGGTATCATCATTCCTATGGCTGGAGTGCAGCTGGGACTGGACAGCCTCCTTTCCCCAAATGCTGATGAAGTCCAGCAGCTCGCCATTGCTTCATGTGGGGGATAGCCTAGTGCATGGAGCAGGCATAGTAACCTAGAAAGATGCGCTGAGACCACTGCACACGTCACCGAGCAAATGGGAAGGGGACTTTCAATATTCCCAAGGAATTTAAGGGGTGGAGCACCTGAGCGCAGGGAAGTAGAGTTCAAACTGATGACCAGAGAGGTGAGAACACGCATTGTGGGACACCTCCCAGAGGCCAATTGCAGTGCTGTAATCGACCAGGATGTCTACACTGGCACTGTGGTGCTGTACCCCTGGCGCAGAAACCTGTATGCCTCTCATTGGAGAGTGTGGGTTTTTTTTTTTTTATTTATTTATTTATTTACAGTGCTGCAACTGCACAGTTTCTGCACACTAAGTGGCCTGGCCATGTGTACACCTCAGGAGTTACACAGCAGAAAGCTGCTTTATTGCACAGAAACTTGCCAGTGTAGACAAGGCCTAAATGTAGAACTTCCAAAAACAGATACTGCTACGCATTTGTGTTAAGACTGGAGAAACGTGTAAAATGATATCAAAATTCTACTTTCTTTCTTGGAGTTATGCTGATTCAGGGTACAAATGAAAATTTAAAAATTATATGGAGAAAATGTAAGGATGGGAAAAAATAAGAAATTTATTTCAATTCACTTCTACATTAGGATGATATTTCCAAGCATGCATTTAAAAATAAAAGTAAAATGAAACTAATGCCTCAAAACCTGTTCAGTACACATTGAACACTGTTTGAATTGTATGGATAGGATCTGAGACCTGATAACGGTTGGAGGTGTGACCTACTAGGGAGTTGAATTCAACTATGATCCTGCATGAAAGGCTATTGGTCCAAATTTTTTTATCTGATCAATTGGCTACAAGGATGTAATTTGAGACATAGCTCATTGTTGGCCCCATCTGATGCCCAGTTCTTCCATGGGTATTGGATAAGGCATTTTAATATACACATCACTCACTTTGCCAGAATTTTTCTCAGTTTGCAGCCATTACAACAGGGTTATCCAGTGATAAAAGGCTCATTGTATTAAAACTGCACCAAATTCAGTCTTTGAGACTGGAACTTGCATTCTGCAGAGACTGCCTTATTGTTTTTGTTTTAAATAAATAAATAAATATAGATATTTATAGTGTTGTATATTAAGCATAACTAACTCCTTTTGGCCGAACTCTGCTCTACTGATCATTGCAAATGCAGAGTACCCCCCTAACTTCAGTGGGATTGCTCCGAATTTAAAATGATTAGTGGAACTGAGAACATAATTTGGCCTCTTGCACTTCACCTAGTTGGATAGAATACATTGAAAGAAGGTCTGGTTTAAATCCAAAACACCTCTTAAAAGTTGTGTTAATAGTTAAAAAAAAAAAAAACACAAACAAAAACAAATGCAGGGATGAAATTCTGGCCCCACTGAAGTCCAATGGAAGTTTTGCCATCGATTTAAATGGGGCCAGATTCCTCGATAGATACTTAGACAATTTATCAAGGTAAATCTGACACTTTGATTAACTGATTAATATAAATTGTCCGGTTAGGAATGGCTATAATTTTGTTTTGTTTTAAAATGTATTTTGCAGTTTATTATGCAGAATTCTCCATTTAATGCTACTGTTTTTCCATGAGAATTATCTTCTATTCTCCATCAATAAAGTTGTATAGGGGTTTGGATATTCCTGCATATTTTCTACATCTATTCTAAATACGTCCTATTGCTTATTTGCATGTTCTTGATTTATCTTTATATTTGGGGAGGAGTGGTGCCTTTTTTCATTTTTGACTTTTTAAAAAAAAAACTTTATATTTAAAAAAAAAAGAAGAAAATCCATTACCATTATTCATTACTCTTAGAATTGCCTATTGCATCTGTATTTTTGGCTTGATTGTTCCTGCCTTCACTCATGAGAATAAACCTTATGTTAGTAGTTCTAATGGAGTCAATGGGGCTAATTGCACAAGGAAGGCTGGAAGGATTAGTTCCTTCTAACATGAATTCGCTGAGGTCCTTCTATTGACTTCAGTCAGGCCTTTAATGCTCAAAAGTTAACACTTCTTATCTGTCACTGTATTTCCTTTGCTATTTTTATTGGCAGTTGAGGGCAGAAAGGAGCTTGCAGAAAGTGCTCAGAACACTGTAGAATTGGGCACTTAATGAGAAAAGAAATGGCACTTTCCTGAACTAAGGATCACTTAATTTTTGAAGATATGTTTTTTTCACATAGTTTATTGCAGGGGTTCTCAAACTGGGGGTCAGGACCCCTCGGGGTCATGAGGTTATTACATGGGGGCTCACAAGATGTCAGCCTCCACCCCAAACCCTGCTTTGCCTCCAGCATTTATAATGGTGTTAAATATATAAAAAAGGTGTTTTTAATGTATGAGGGGGAGTCACACTCAGGGGCTTGCTATATGAAAGGGGTCACCAGTACAAAAGTTTGAGAACCACTGGTTTATTGCATCCATATTCCTCAACTGCGATAATAGCAAAAAACCAACCAAACAAAAAACAACAAACAAACATAAATACCCACCAAAAACAAAAAAAATCTGGTATTTTCTTTTAATAAAATGCTAACAAAACTTGACAGTATTAAGGTTTCTTATGTCATGGATCAGTCCATTTGGCAAAACATTCCAGATCTCTGATTTCTGGTAGCACAATGCATGGTGGTATAAATTCACAGAGAGTTGCACTCATCAGCAAATCAGGAGCTTGATGAATAAATATAACCTGAAATCAGACCTCGGTGTATGATTTTTACATTCCCCAACTTACCTTAATATAAAAGTTTATAAACAGAATAACCAGTGTGGCCATGTATGAAAACTGGAACATGAGGCAACCAAATGGAAATCCACATGGCTTCACGGCAGCACTAAGAGTGTGGGTAATGGTGAGCAGAAACTGAATCTGTAAAAGATAGATCATACATTTTATTTATATAAATTTAGATGAGATTTTTTTTTTTGGTTTATTACTATTTGAGCATTTTCAGGAAAGAGGATGGTGATCATTTAATCAGGTATTTCCTATGCAATCTCCATATTATAATTTTTTTGTAGTTTCTGAGCATTCTGTTGGGGGCATTGTTCTGAGGCTATCCGAATTATTCTCATATAAGGTCTAAAGAATTAAGGGTTGGCCATTTTATAGATACTTTGGAAAACACAAGTTTTCTTACAGGACTGCCTGGCAAACTGGTAGCTATTCTCTTTTAATGGGGCTGGGATGTCCCCTAGAACACTTTGTGCCACCTACAGCATCATCTTTAAAGCAGAACCTAAGAGAAACCTGATGAATATCTGAGACCTGAAGAAGCCGTTTCAAAAGACTGAGCTGAAAATGGAACATCCATTTTAAAGGAGAAACTAGAAGTCTGGGTCAGGTAAAGAACTGTGTTGGTAGGCGTAAGAAGACCGCAAATAAAGGAGAAATGAGATGGGGAGGAAGCTGCAAAGATTTTTTTTTTTTTTTTTGATTACCAAACACGGCCTAATTAACTGGATCATAAGATCCTAGCCAACCAAATGAATTATGCGGTACTCCATGGAACAATGTACTGTATGTAGTTTATTTAGAATAAGGCATTATTCTGTTTTAAGTGTGCAGGAAAACAAAAGACCTAAGATGCAGTCCTGATTAAAAGAATACACATTTTCACAAGACTGTTTTAGAGCTTTTTGCTAGTGTCTGTTCCCAAAATAAGAATAAAGAAGTCTTCTTTAAAATGCAAATGTGTAGAGCACATTCTTCCACCAGTAAGGAGTGCAGCATGACAGATGTTTTTGAAACACAACTCTTGATGTATTAATGCTGACTACAAAGCGCACATGGCTTTGTGTACTCTATCCAGACTAAAGCAGATTTTTCTAAATCAGAGAATGGTTGTCTTGTGCTCTTGCTTCTTTGTGATTTTTTTGCATTTTCTTATTGGACTATGGTTACATTTCCTGCTTTGGAGAGACTTTGGTGCATGTAAGTAGCTGATGCAAAACTTTTTTTCAAGTCATACAATTTTAAAGCTCTTTAGGAAAGTTAACTGAGAAGTATATAATTTTAACATCTTACATAATTGATAGCTTTTATGACTTTTTAATCAGTGGTGCATTTACCATGATTTAGTAAAAAGCAACAGAGGGTCCTGTGGCACCTTTAAGACTAACAGAAGTATAGGGAGCATAAGCTTAAAGGTGCCACAGGACCCTCTGTTGCTTTTTACAGACTCAGACTAACACGGCCACCCCTCTGATACATGATTTAGTAGTGTCCATTTTCTATGAAGGCCATAAATAATGGGAGGGAGTTTCTCCTAGAATCACTACTGAATACTGTCTCCCTCGGTGAGTAATATGGTGTATTGTCCATGACAGAGAGGCCCATTTGTGGTTCGTTATCCTGTGATAGCAACTCTTCGAGGCAAAGTAGATGAGATAATAATTTTTTTATTAGACCAATTTCTGTTGGTGAGGGAGACAAGCATTTAAGCTTATACAGAAGAGTTCTGTGGAGCTCGAAAGCTTGTCTCTCTCATTAGGTAAAAAGATATTACCTTAACTACCTTGTCTGTCTAGTATTCTGGGACCGACACGGCTACAACAACACTGCATAAAGCAACACTTGTCAGGCCTGACATACTCATTACACCTCATGCACTGGTGTCATGATATTTATTTAAAAGGCAGCATGTAGTGTATCATTTGAAAGCTAATATCTCACTGATCATTAATATTCTTGAGTAATGTATGTATGTGGTGTGTATTAAGTGTTATGGCTATATGCTGAAATGATGACTAAAATGTGTTTAAGCTAGGTCTGTCAGGGAAAGTTGGTAAATAGGTCTGTCCTATACAAAGGAATGCTTAGTCAACAGGCAGAGACAGTGAAGGTCCATTTACATATCAGGTAAACAAAGCTATTAAGCTAACAATCGGGAGCAGACAGCTTCTAGAAGGAAAGAGAAACTTTATCTGGGCTATACGGACAGGGGGTTTGAACTTCAAGTGACAAGCCATTGAATCAATTGATTTATAATACAGTAATGTATACAAAGTTCATTGAATAAGCTGTTTTATGAAAGCCTATGACAGACTGGTGATTAATATATATTAAAATAACAGTATAAGGAATTATGGATATTCATTGATATTCGACTTTACAGTCTGTCCAATGAAAGGGAGAAACAGGTCTCTGCCAGACAGGTGGGAACAGCGCAGCTATTTACCCATCTCCTATGTAAATTTAAGCATGGTGGAATCAAAACAATGGAAACTCCACTTCCATCCTCCCAGGTATAGGAAAAACAGCTTGAGGTCATCCTGCCTCTTGAAACAAGGTAATTGAACTTTGGAAGATATAAGCAAAAACAGAAACCATCTTTGGCATCCATCACTAGACAGACACAAGCTGTCCTGCAAGCTGAGAAAAATGGGTCCTTTGACCAACAGGATGGTGAAGTTTCTGGGAACTGAAGATAGATGAAAGAGTTGCTTAGACAAAGATCTTTCACCTAGGAAGACGACGTCTTGTACTTCTGTGGAAAGTCCTGACTGAGGAAAAGTCAGCTATGGCTGGGAAGAAGGAAGATTTGGTGAGATCAACCATCTTGAACAAAGTCTGTCCCTGACTAAATTGAGTTGAGTTTTAGACTTTTAGCTGCATGTTTTCACTATTATTTGCTTGCAACCGTTTATAATTTTATTTCTTTTGTTTGACATCATTTAATCTGTCCCATTATTACTAAATCTGCTTTATTTTTACTATAAACCAACTCAGTGATTTGTTTGAAGGGAAGGGTTATTTACCCCAGTTAAATTAATATTCTGCAATGTTTTTGTGTCTCTCTTTAAAGGATCAACTAACCTTATTTCTCTGAGTGGTCCTGGAGAGGGACAGAAACTAAAGGGTACACGGTTTGGGGAAAATTTCAGGACTGGAAGTGTGTTGGGGTAAGTCTGCTAGTAGTAACCAAGGTTGGTGGAAGCCATGGTGAGACCGTTGTGCTGTAGGCTGGCTGCGAGAGTCAAAGTTGCTGATCCAGGGATGTCCGGCACATGGACACTTAGGATGTGACCTGCATGCTTGTATGCTGGTTGCTGGCATCCAGTTTGTGAGGCACAACAGTAGGGCATTTCAGGCACCAAGGTTTACAAGGCAGGTGACACAGCCCCACACTGGTCTGAATTGTGCCCCCAAACATGACACTGTCAAAGTATACTGCATGGCACTATTGCTACATTTGAATCTTAACTGGCTCAATCCTGGAAAGTACTGCACACCGTGAACTTCTATTGATAGCAAGAATCAGGCCCATTCTATTTACTTGCAAATGTATCCTAAGATTTTTACCCTATAACAAATACAAAATAAAGGCCAGACTTTTTTTAAATGAAAGAAAAGATTGGCAGCCAAAAAAGTGTGCAAATCTTTCTTTTATGCCGACAAGTTAGTCCACTTTTAAAAAGCTTGCCTCTGACAGTAATCCTACAAGGTTAAAACAATTAAAATCAGAATTAAACCATAAGTAGAATCAATGTGCTGTGTTTAAAAACAATAATCTGGAATGAAAATGGCTGTTAAGGTAGGTGCAAAACTCCATTTCACATCCTTAGCCTTAATAAGAAGGTTTGGTATCTTTTAAGTCAAGTTAATATGTCTGTCTTTTTGCATTTATGAACAGGCTTTACTTAAAGAATGGTTCTGCTCTGAAAATTTACTCCCTAAAAATGGCACGAAGGGAGGAGGGCACATTGATTATTTCTCAGTGATGCCAGATTGTATCTGAAATCAAGTAAAAGGATGTTTGTTCAGTTTTCCATGTGTGTGTTTAACTTCTGTTAGTACAGACAGGTCAAGCTGGATTCTCACTGGCTCATGTATCACCACCACCAAGGATTCTACAGTAGAACCTAGTTAACAATTCTAGTGGTCTTGTGTGAGCCAGAGTTGTATTGACTTAGCAGCTCTAACAGGAGTAAAATGCAATGAAAACATCATCAGTGAAGTAAGCAGCTGTAACTGAATAAACTGAGGGACTAAGTCTAATGTATAATAAAATACCTTTTGTATGTAGTTATTTTTCAGAGAAGAACCACACTTAGAATATCCAATTGCTGTGGCTTTTAATCATCGTGCTTAAATAACTTGCTAAGTACTTCAGTCCTGTTCCACCCTGTGAGTTCAGTTCAGACGTATTAAGATAGTATTGAATAAACATATTCTTTATGAAAATAGGTTCCCTAGGCCCTGTTCATATTAAGTTTATTCTAGTGTTTGATGCTGAATTTGGATTTGGCAGCACAATTTGAATTTGATCGTACTGAACTCTTATGAAGTTTTTTCACAAGATTTCTGCTTTTGGATCCGATCTGGAAACAAAGACTTTGGGGTTGAATTTGGATATGGGAATTTGAATCAGAGGTCCTTCCTCTCCCACATTTCAAAAGCTTTATATTCAAGGTTACAGTTTTATGCTACCTCCTTTGACAAAAAAAAATCTATTCAAATTAAAGAGTGAAAAATAAATGTACCAGTTGTGCCTGAGTGAGGTATTTCTTCCACCACAGATACTTGCGCATGGAAGGAATGACAGAAAATCCATAGTAGGAGTACATGAGAACATGGATAAAACTATTCAAAGTGGGTCCAAAGAAACCTGTAAGAATCCAACAAAGAAAACATTTTATTCAGTGGTATCACTGGGGGTGGGATGAAGGACTTTCTACCAGGAAATATGTTCTTAGAATTTACAGGGAGGGACTTTTACTGATCTACAAGTGGTCTCACTAGCGTTCTGATACTGCATCCAGTAATAATGCTCTTTACTTTTTTTTTTGCTCACTTCTCATCAGGATACTCTTGGACTTGCACTGGATTCCACACTAGGGATTGCTGACCTTTCCTCTCCCCCCCCCCCCCCAAAAGTCTTACTATACTGTGACACAAGTTCCATTGGTACCAGCTAGCAAAGGGTTCACTCTTCTTTGCAAGCAACTCCTGTCTCAGACATGGCGCGCACACTGCTTTCATTGTTGTCATCCATGAAGGCTGGCATGTGCTATCTCTACTGAAAGCTTGTAGTTTATCGATACTCATAATCATTGGGGGATGTGTGTACAGGGAATAGTTAAGGAACAATGTAACTATACTGAAAATTATACCCTTATGGTCTTGGAGTGGGAGTGGTTTACAAGGAGAATATGTCTCAGGGATGGCCGGTTGAAGCAGGAGGAAGTTGTCACCCTTCCCAGGCTAGTCCATTATGTAATACATTGCTTCATTGTCCATCATTGCACCAACCCAGAAAAGTCAATGGAAAACCATCAAAGAAAAACTATAAACATTGAAACTACTTGGCAATGAAAAGGAACAGTGTGACAGCCTGAGGATCACCCTGTTTGTGAATAAAAACTGATTGAGTATATCACGGGCTGGAGAAAGATATGCTGGATCCAGTCACTGAGGAGGTACCTTGTTGAGTAGGGGTGCTTCATGAGAGATTGGGTCCTGGCTCTTTGGAGCTAGCAAGCATTGTAAAAGACTGAACTCTGGGGTGAGAATCGACTCTGTTAAATAGTAAAGGTGACTATTAATAAATGTAGGCCCTAGTTCGCATTTTGTGATGTGTGTAACCATTTGTTTCCATGGCTTACACTTGATTCTGATTGAATCTCTATCCTTTTTTAAAACTGTTTCCTTTTTTGTTTTACTGTAACTGAACTCAAGTGCTGTTCTTGATACTGAAGCAGTGCTCTAAGGTAAAATGGGTAAACTGGGGTACACTGCTCCTTTGGGAATAGAGGCTCTGGGATTTCTGGGGGTATCCAGTGATCAGGGGCTGTTTACCACAGGTGGACACTTTGAAGGGACTCAGAGGCTGGGGTACATCTACTTTCACCCTGCAGGGCTGCTATAGAGGAGAGTGCTAGAGTGGCTGACAGGCTGGTTGTGTTGGAGAGCTAATGCCTAGCTGGCATAGGCAAGTCTCCCTCATGCGGGAGGTGAGTGGGAACAAGATGATACTTGGCCCTGGGTGCCCTGAGAAGTGCCTCATACACCCAGCTTTTCTTCCTCCCTTGGTTTCTTTTTCTTTTATGTCAGAGGCTGTATATTTTACTCTGATTTTCCTTTCTGCCTTCTTTCTTTTTATTTTCTAGATTGCAGGCCATCCCTTCACTTTGTTCTAAAAATCCTTTGTCTGTCTGTCTTGGCATTCTAAGCTCTAAACACTCAGCTATTTTATTTTGTTGCCATAAACAGAAGCCTAGTGCCCGGGGAGGTAAAAGAACATGCAGGACTCCCATTACTGAACACCGCAGTGAGAGCTTTACTCTTTGTATCGGAGTACAATTCGTGTACTCGGGGCAAATTCTGTGGCCTTAATTGAGGAAAAGCTTTCACTGACTTCAGTGAATGTTTTGCTTGCTTAAGGACTACAGAATTTGGCTCTAAACAATATTTCACCATTACAATCAATTGCAGTAACTGAATATTAATTCTAGCATTCTGCATGATGTGGATAAATTACCCTATACCCTTTTGCCCGGATAGTTGAGCAGGAAGTAGCAATATTGCTAAGTTATATGTGTTCATTCTGTTAGTAGAATGTTCAGCAGCTACAGAATATGTTAACATTTGGTCAGAGAACAAATGGGTCTGATTCTTGTGACACAGGGCCCTCTCAGTGCCGAGGGTGCAGGGGGTTCATAGGGTTTTACAGGAATTTCCTTGGTCATGTATGCGCATAATTTACTAAAGGGTGACACAAGATCTTCACTGTGAGCCAGTAGCCCACTGGTTGACATAATCACTGCAAAATGCATGTAGGGGTAATATTTAAGGACTTATGTCTCTATACTGAAAATTGTGTTCTTAAGGTCTTGGAGTTAAGGCAGGTCTCCAAGAGATGACCTGCATCGGACGTGTTCCTTTTAGGGAGGCGGTGACAGACACTTACCTCCCTGTCTGATCACGAGTGTATTGTGTGTTGTCTACCTCACAATGGAGACCTATTTGCTGACCAAGGGCTTGTCTATACTACCACTTAAGGGGATGTAACTTATGTCGCTTAGAGATGTGAAAAAGACACCCCCTGAGCAACGCAAGTTAGTGACCTAAGCACTGTCCACGCCGCACTATGTCAGCGGCAGATGCTTTCCTACCACCATAGCTTCTGCCTCTTGTGGAGGTGGAATAATTATGCCGCTAGAAGAGCGTTCGCCTGTTGGCATCACGCGTCTTCACCAGACACGCTACAGTGGCGCAGCTGCACCCACGTAGCATGGTAGTGTAGACTTGCCTTGAGCCCAGGTTCCAGTTGTAAGGTTACAGAATCTACAGGAAGAAACAAAGCACCAGCAGGTGTCCTGTTTATGAATGAAAACAAAGGATGTGAATGTATATCTTGGGAAGCAAAGAACACACTGAGTCCTTCATCTAGGAGACCTGCTGTGCTGATATATTGATATCTATGTAAGCAGGGTCTGAATGAGCTGTCCCCTGACATCCAATGATGAACTGGGGGAAAAGATTTCAGGAACAGACCACATTTGCATTGACACACTCACTCTGCCTAGGTATTCAGCAGACAGAGCTGTTTTGCCAAAGTGATCAAGTTTGGCTGGTTTGGGGTTACAATTCACTTTAGAATTATCATCCTTATTGTATGAGCAGAACTGTACTTAGTATGCCCTTATTAAGGAGGTCACCCTAAACTGAAACTCACTTGCTAAGCAGGGGCTAAAGATGTCAAATCCCAGTGAAAATGAGATGGGGGTGGGATGGGTGTTCCTAAATGACGGTATGGACTCTGCCTAAAGAGTCCTAGACACTATTTGAGCCTCTCCTTTTTAGTGTCTAAAGACAGAGCTGATTGGACTCCCCTGAGAGTCCTTGTTTCTGTTCAGAAGTTACTAGAGTTGAAATCACTAGTGAGCAGGTTTAGGGGCTAAGCCTTAGACCTAGTGTGGAGACAGAGTTGCAGTGAAAGATAATGAAGAGAGAGAGCAGCTGAGATGTTCCCCCTATTCAGTGAGTTCACTAAGAGCTGGGTTTTATAGTGGATCCTCAGAATGCAACATTGCAGAGGTAGCAGTGAATGGCAAGTAGCAGCAGCAGAGCTGAGGGTGGCAAAGACAACAGCAGCAGAAGTGGTAGTGAGTGGCCAGTGGTGGCAGAGATAACAGTAGCTGACCAAAGGCAAGCAATTGTGAGTGGAGTGCAGTAGAGGACAAGAGGAGTGGTGTATTAAGGGGACATTTGTTTCCTATAAGGTCGGAAACTGAGGCAAAGGACATGACCCAACATACTGTGGGGTGGGTGTTTGCTTATGGTTAGATGCTTTTGAATTGGTTGCTGTGTTTTCCCAAACTAATGCTGGGTTTTCTTTCCCTTTTGAATAAGTTTTCTCTTGTTACACACAGACTTGGAGTTTGCGAGTGGGGAAGTACTGCTTCTTATGGGCGGTAGTTAGTTTTCCCAGATTACTGGGTGGGGGCTCGAGCTGGTTCTATTTTGGATGGTAAGTGGAACCCCCTGGTATGTTAAACCTTGTCCTTGTTGCAGACTCCACCTGGCAGAAAAGCTACAGCTAAGGCCTGTGGGTTAAGCGGAGAGGTGATCTCAGATGGAAGTGGTAAGCAGCGAATCTGAATACAGTGAGTGTCCAGTGGAACAGGGGCTAGACACTCCAGGGAGATGTGGGGGGTGGGGAGGAGCTCAAGGGTTGCAATGTGCCCAGTGTGAACCTATAAAGAGACAGCAAGGCCTGTGAGGCTTAGAGGCGAGTGCTTGTGTTGCATGTGCGGTGGAGTTGGGGAGCTGACCTCCAGCAGGGACGGAAAAGGCTTCCTCATGCGAAGGGCAGGTGGAAGCGGGGTGCCTCACAACCTGGGGTAGCCCAGGAAACATCACAATTCTCCTCTCTGTTACAATTATGCTGCTCTAAAAGTGGAGGAGAATCAGGTCCTGTGCGTTAGCCATAGAAGAGAGCACAGAGGCTGGCATGTCCATTGCCTCGCCCATAAGCAGTCCTTGACACCCGTAGAAAGTGTGTGTAAATCACTGCCAAATCACAATTCTCCACAGGGTCTGTGGGAGCATTTTACACCTACTTCACACAATCAAAGTGACTGCACTAGGCAGTGGAGATTTGGGTCTTACGCTATTAAAAATAGGAACTTATAACACATTACTTTGAAAATAGAGCTGCTGAATTTTGTATAGGTTGAGATAATTTCCCTTTTGAGGGATGTGGGAACCAAAGCTTAAAAACTAAGTTAAAACATTAATTTTCTTTTCATCTTAGATGACAAGGCTACAGGAAAAAAAATCATTCCATTTACCCACTAACAGGAACGTTCTTGATTTGATGCTAGAAATAATTCTCCACTTCCCACTCTAAGCCAGAATGCAGAGACAGTAGTCTCTAACTATCACTATTTCCCATGGGTATGGGAGGAGACCGTGAGAATGACAATTTCCAGTCAAGATGAACATGATATATTCCACAACAATAATTATTATACCTGACTATTGATGTGCAATGAGCTAGAGAAGGCCAATTTTCTGTCACAAAGACGTCTGGTTTCACTTGGATAAAATGCACATTATTCTGCATCACTGTGACTTCCTACCAACTATGCAGTCAAATTTCAGGTCTTCAAAATAGGACTCTAAAACAAGCCAAATTCATGAATGTAGGGTCTGTGATTCAAAGAGGAATGTTTTTAAGAGACAGTGAATGTGTTACATTTACACTGCCAAGTACAGGGTGTACTCTGATACTGATTTCTCATCAGTTTTACAACAGTGTGACTCCATTGCACTTCAGTAGAGTTAATTCTGATTTACTTTTGTATAAGTGAGAGCAGACATAGTCCCTTTCTCTCTCCTAACAGCCCAGGCCTCATATGAAGTTAAGGCTGAATCCTCTTCCCATAGAAATGGATGGGAATTTTTGCTACTGACTTCAAGGGGAGCAGGATCAGACCCTTACCTATTCAAAATGAGATCCTGAGAATATGATGGTCCTTGGCTTGTCAAAGTTTGGGTGACAAATGGAATTACGATTCTTCCATAGTGTGTGAAGTTGAAAAGTTTAAATAATTGTTTAAAATATTCACAAGAAATAGGAGCACTTGAGGGGGGAGCATAAACCTTCACTAAGATAATAGGCAATGGCAGGTCCTCATAAGCAAACAAACTGGGCTTTGCCTACCCTGGATGGAGTTTGAATATTCTCTTTATTGCTATATAGTGGTTTTGAGTACACAATTTTTTTTCAGTTTGGCCTGCGTACTTCTAAATGTCTTCAAATCAGTTATGCTGCTCACAGATGCTTAGTTACACATTTATAAACGAAAGATCTTGCTAGTGCAAGAAGTCAAAAATGTATAAGTATTTGAATGTTGTGCTATACAGCAGGGGTGAAATTCCCCTTGACTTCATTATTTTGCCTTAAGTATCTTATGGGACAGATTCTTCTCTCAGTTATACTATTTGAGGGAGATACACTTGCATGAAACTGGTTTGAGGAGAATCAGGTCCTATCTATCAGTCTCTAGGCACTTTATACTGTGCCCCTCACTAGGGCACCGGGTCTGTCAAAGATTCTGTGATTTTCCACAACCTCCATGACTTCTGCAGCGGCTGATCTCAGGGCCAGCTACTTGGGCGATCCTGGGACGAGCCATAGCAGCAGCTGCTGGAGTGGCCCCGGGGCTAGCCCCACCAGCCGCTGCTCAGGCGGACCTGGGCAGCTGATCCGAGGGACTGCCTGAGCAGTGGTCCTTGGGGTGGCCAGAGCAGCCGCTGCTCGGCGGCCCCAAGCAGCGGCCCCGGGGCAGTCCCTGGCAGCTGGTGCTGCTGGTCCTGGGGTGCGCCCCCCCAATCAGTGGACCCCCCCCAGCAGTGGCCTCCCAGGGCATCCCCCACAAGCAGTGCCTCCCCAGCAATGCGTGCGTCTCTTCCCCCCCCTCTGCCCCAGATTTTGTCAAGGGTATTTATAGTAAAAGTTATAGACAGGTCACAGACTGTGAACTTTTGTTTATTGCCCATGACCTGTCCATGACATTTACTAAAAATACACATGACTAAATTGTAGCCTTATTCACAACTCTAGTATCTGAGCATGTAACAATAGTTTGGTGGCCTGGGAGTCAGTGATCCTGAGCACTCACAATTCTTTTTTATTTCAATAGGAACGGCAGGTGCTCAGCACCTCTGCAAATAAATCCATATGACTGTATACTCACCTTGATTTTGTAGGGATTTGTGAATAATTCTGCAGATAGCTAATATTACTACTAAATGCTTGCAATGCATAGCTGTGTGCAAATCCCCTACATCTATCCCCTTAACATACTGCTGAGAAAATGATAGAAACACTTACTTTGTCCACAAGGGATCCAGTTCAGAACACACCACCAGATGTTAAACATAGTGGCATGATGATATACATGAAGGAAAGTAATTTGACTGTTTTTCTTCCTCAGTACAAAGAAAATAGTGTCCATGAATTCAATTACTTTGGAAAAATAATACCACCACAGCACCTTGGCCACCTGTATGAGCAAGAGAAAGAGAAATAAAGGTCTGTTCGTAAAGGGCTAAATTCTGCTATCCTTAATCAATCCTTGCTCTAACAAAATTCCCATTGAAGTCATTTTCCCATTGATGAAAGATGGCAGGATTTGGCCAAACGTTTCTTATTCCCTAAGTACTCTTAGACCTCTAACCTGTTTTGCACGTAATGAAGATTTTCTGAAAATGCCTTCTGATCTAAACTTCCAAAGCAAGGCTTTCTAATTGCTCTTCATCTGGATCAAAAAGTTACAATAGCCTTTTTCTAGGGGGCTTCACAGGCAGATACGCGAGTGGGGGGAATGTGAAGCATAATGAACTAGTGGGATACTTGAGCAGCAACCAACTTGGGGACCGTTGCTATTGGAAAACTTTTCAAACATGATCTGAAAAAAATTAAATGACTAAATATTTTAAATGTGTTGTAATCTACAAGTTCTCAAAAGAGTAATTAAAGTAGGCAGCCCACATCATCCATTATCAAAGCCCCTTGGACACAATGGAGCAGATCCTTCATAGGGAGATATGCCAATTAATACCAGCCCAGAATATTGTAATTTCACAGGACCCTTAATGCAGAGTATTGCAGTGAGATTCATAGAGCCTATAAGCCAAGAGGGAGAGAAGAAAATTTAAAGTAGTAGTATCTCCAAGGGAGGAACAAAAAAAACATCATATAGATGGGAAAATGTGTCCGAGTGACCCTTGCAAGCCAAAATGTGGAAAGTCCTAGAAAAGGAGAAAGGGGACCAAAATGGAGGAATGGAGTAAGTATCGGTGAAAAGGAAGAATGATTAACTATATCAGGTCACAAGTATCAGAGGGGTAGCCGTGTTAGTCTGGAGCTGTAAAAAGCAACAAAGGGTCCTGTGGCACCTTATAGACTAACAGACATATTGGAGCATAAGCTTTCGTGGGTGAATACCCACTTCGCATGCGTCTGACGAAGTGGGTATTCACCCACAAAAGCTTATGCTCCAATACGTCTGTTAGTCTTTAAGGTGCAATAGGACACTTTGTCGCTTATATCAGGTGGGAGTGTTTACGGAGAATTTGGAACAATAGAAGGACAAAACTTTGAATTTTAAGGTGTGTAATAGGAGTCAAGGCTAGAGATGAGGTGAAGATGCAAAATCTGGATCCAAGCATTCCCAGAGTTCAGATTGGTTCAGGTGCTAGTTTGGACCCACAAGAACCCAAATTTGCATGGACAATTTCACCATAGGTTTTTAATTAAAGGATTTATGTTTTCCATAGAAAACATTTCCATTTTGTATTGGTATCTGTTCTGATAATTAATGATAATGCAGTGCCAGATGAGCCAGAAATATTGGACATAAACTTTTGTAAAAGCCTTTCCAGAACAAAAATGTACCTCTCACATTGTTCTCTACCCTATACTGGGGAATGAGGACACATCCAACCTGGATCAGCATATACATATCCCACTGTGTAACAAACAGAAATAAGATCATTTTTTAAAAATCCTAATGCTAAAATCTAAATAGGCCAATGATGCAAGGGAATTGCACCAAAGCCTATGGAGAAATAGACCACAACATCTTTTAGTTACTGAGTTGCTGTTTCTGCCTCACCCGGATATCGGCTTCTCCTGCGCTGACAAGGTTCTGACACTGTAAGTTATAGCCTCCTTCCCAACTGGAAAGCATAAGCTGGAACAAAACACACGCAGAAAATCACTCAACAAAAGTATTCATTCATATTCCTCTGTGCTTCCGCTCGGCGTTGCAGTGGAAATGGCACAGAATTTGGGCCACTGCCGATTCATCCCACGAACAGATGCTATTAAAATAGTCTATTTGCATATATCAGAATAGGGTTCTGTTCTGGAATTAAAAGGTTAGAAGGTGGTGATGGAAATACACAATGCAACAAACCCTGCCTTTCTCGTTTTGCTGGAGTTGAAACTTCCAACCTATCATAGGTTGTCATCTCTAACAGTGCTTCTCAACCTACAGCTCTTTAGGAAGTCTCTTTTGTAGAAAGCCTATGTTTTGAGTAGAGCTGTTCTATCTGACACATGCAGGGCAGCAGGAGAAGTGCTAAACAGATTACTGGTGCAGCCAATATCTTTCCCTGTTCCTCCAAACAAACTGAAAGTGTATTTGGGCTGGGGGAGGAGGGAGAGAATATATGTTTTCCCATATCATTCATATCTATATCTCCCAGGAAAAGAGAGTATATATTGTACTGAATGAAGTGGCAAAGAGTCTTAAAATAATTTCATAGGAGTATCCTGATGCTACATTAAAGTGTCACATAAATATGTGATGAGTTAACACCATGCAACACTACAAAACAAATGTAGCAATATAAAGGGTGTCGCTGTGATTGTTTTGTGGGTCTCTGGAAGTCCACACAGGGGAAGGTGAGCACAGCTCCTCCAGAAACTAAGACCAATGGGGGTGACTAGACAAATCCACTCAGGTTGTAACACCTCCAGGGAGGTACAGCCACTTGGAGAGGCTTGCACGTGCTGGTTCAAACTGGATTCTCCAGAGACTATCAAACAAAGGACTTTTGGATAAATAGCCTGAATTTAAACTGATTTAAGGCCTTCTTTCTGTTCCAGAAAATGATCAGAACCACCTGTCCAAAGGAGGGAGTCTAATTATTGTGGAAGGATTAGATGGACTGTCACTGACCAGAGCCCTTGTTAGATTTGGTGGGGTGATCTCTGGTAAGCATATTAGCATGCATGTAGGGTCTTCTATTCTTACTATGTTTGTTCTGTAAAACTTTCATCTTAAGAATAAATGTACTTGTGTGGTAATTTATAACTGTGGGCATCTGTGCTGTTTATAGCCTCTCAGGAGAAAGCATGGTGCAGACACGCACATCTGTTTAGATGGTTTGGGTTGCTGGGGAACTCACAGTGTAGGCAAGGAACTGTGCAGTCTGGAAAAACCTTGCTCAGTGGGGAATGAGTCTCGGGTCTGAATCCAAGAGAGGTGATGACTGAGGAGCCAGGAACCTAGAGTGGGTGTCCTTACTGCCTGCAGCGGGGGGATACTGGTGCGGTTGCCCTGACTTGTGACATAGACTACAAAATCTGGCCCTTGGAAAAGCATCTCTGAGGTAGATATGTGGTTTTATTTATTAATATATATTTGGAGGAGGGGTAGAAGGATGAGAAAAAAACAGTAGCTTGTCTCCTAAAGGACTGTGTTTCTTCTTTCTGAAGAGCAAGCTGAGGTAAAGTCTGTGTCTTGACGCATGTTGCCATTTACTGAAGGTCATCTCTGCCTCTGATCAGTTTAGGTGCTATTCAAGAATCACCGTTCCTGTACTCTCGTAGTACAATGACAATGGTAGTGCAATGACAAGAACTGCTGAGTACTGTATTGACTTTTGCTGCCATACCCGACATTGACATGCCCCATGAGAAACCTTCTACTCAATGACTGCCAGTATCTCTTTCCCCACCACAGGAGGCTTAAGACAATGTTTCCTACAGTGTGTATACATAAAAGTGAATCATACTTATTAAATAGAAATACACATACTGTGCAGCAAACCTACAGTATTTTCGTAGTTTACAAATTAGTTTGCCATAGAAGTTTAAATAGCTATTCTATCTACAACCCGATGGTTGTCTGTGGATGAAATCATTGCTATTCCCATTGGACATTCAAGCAACTGTGATGTAATGTCTTATTCAATCAATATGCAAAGAAACGAAATACCTCAACCTTTTAGCTGTACTGTTCCATGAGGTTCAGTCAGAACAGATCTTTGTAAGGAGGGTGAGAATGGGTTACTTAATATCCTTCTATAAAGAGTTGTTTATTTGTGAAAATGTCCTTTTATACTGTTTGTTTTATCATAACACACCCATTTTCTAGTGAGAAACCCAAGGAGCTCATTCTATGTACTTACAGGGGTTTAAAAAAAATACTGGGAACCATAAGAAAAAAAGAGACTTCTTAATTCTCTGGCAAACCATTTATTTACATTTCTTGGCTCTGCAGGCCAGTGTTCTGTATGTTGCTGCTTATCCCTGAAGTAGAATAGGTGGAGACCCAAGTTCTTCTACAAGTTACTGTTATTTCCAGTACGAAACTGTAAAAATCCCTAACTGAAGAAAACGAACCTTAGACCTTACATTACATTCACCCTCTGTCCGAGAATCTATGTGGTTCACAACAGCTCCAGAAGGCAGATGATGAAATAGACCAAAAGGGAGATTAGTGTTTTGTTTTTCAGAGGTGGCAATGAAATATTTTGGCTTAGGATATATGGAAATATCTTTCTTTAGGGGCAGGACCCAACAGCTTAGCAGCTTGCTACTTTTTCCCAACTAAAGCATTTCTGCTTTAGCTCAAGTGGTAGGGACTTGTCCTCCTTAAGCCACACGTTTAATCTTCATTGTCAGCTGTGTCTGTGGTCACAGATATGAGGTACCCTTACCCCCTGCAGGTCCCATTGATTTCACCTCTGAAAATCAGTCCACAAATGACTTGTCTATGGTCACAGGCCAGTCTGTGGCAGAGCTTGGAATGGAACTCAAATTGATTGACTTCTGGTCCTTGACTTAGCCACAAGCAAGCCCGTCTTCTCATCTGAAAAAGCGAAAAGCACTTTGTACTGCTTTGGTTCGAGAAAACTGAGCTTTTAAATCTCTTAAAGATACTCTCAGCTGTCTTAGTCCCCACTTTTAGGATATTTTATTTTAAGGAGAGAGAATGGTTTTCTAAAATATTATAAAATGTATTGAAATATCTTAATCCATAATGTTTCAGTGAAACCAGAGTGTCCCCCGCTCCACCAACACCTTTTTGATTTAAATAAAGCCTCCAGCAGAGTTTGCAACCCATGCAGTGCCCCCTTATGCTTTGGCTGTGAAACTCCGAGAGGGGAACTGATCCAGTTGCATTGTTCAAACTGAATGAAGTTCAAATGTAAACCAGTGCTATTAATGGTGAAAATTAAATTAGAATTGTTTCAGAAATTTCAGTTTTAATATATCTAAAGCACTGGCAAATAGAATAGGCCATGTTTTTTTTTAAATGTGAATGAAAAGAAGTCTTGCGCTGTCCCTTCAATTTTAAAATGTCAGGTGCCGACAGCCAAAACAAGCCTTAGAGCATCTGCTGTGCTGCAAGGATGGGTGTTAGAGACATGGATTTATGAAGTGACAATAATTAAATACTTTTCTAGGTCAGTATTGTTTTTTTTAAAAGGGGCCGGGGGGGGTGGGGGCCGGAGAAGATATTTTTTCCCTTCCTTTAGAACAGTCCAAATACCACTGGTCTTGTTTACAATGTGTGCTACAGGTCACTAAAATGGGCAGAATGGGACCATTGCCTAGAATATCCAGCTGAAGAACTCTTTGCAAATGCCTGGTGCAGCTGAGGTCACACAACATGCTCTGCCAAACAGCTCCAGTTCCCATTGCTTGCATTCTACCATGTACCTCCAGGATTTGTGTTCTCTGGCCTGTGTGTACTCACTTCCTCTCCCGTGGAAGAGAGGGTGGAAAATGATCAACAGGTTTATTCCACCTGTGGCTTTGCGTTTTCCCCTTAAAGTGGAGGGGCTGGCGGCACTGTAGAAAAAGCAGGGGTATTTTCAGCAAGGCTCTGATTGGGCCATGATCTGTGGGAAAACTAATACCAGCAGAAGACCTTTGACCCACCCTCTACTGCAGCATTCCTCTCGCCCATCACAGCACTCTGCCCTGGCATGCTGCTACTGGCTGGCTTTCCACCATCTCCCTGATCCCACCCCTTCTGGATTTTGTTCTAAACAGTACAGGGGGAGTTGCAATACAAAATGGATACTAAATTAGAGTCCTCTGAACAGAGAATTTACTGCACTGAATGGGAGTTCCCTAACTTACCAATTGTCCCTCCGCTACACATCACCTTGACCATGTAGAGCTGAGCTCCCACGTTGCATTTGGCAGAGGCAATTATTTGGTGGGGGTGGGATGCTAGTGCCTAGTGGCCTTTCTGTCCAGCCTCTCTCAATGCCCTTCCTAACAGTTTCCCATAGCTTTGCCTTTCTCTGCAAAGCAGAGGGGAGCATAGGAGCCTGAATGGGTACTTCCTTGCCTATACAAAAAACAGAAGTCTTACCAACAAGCTTTCTTAGATTAGCTGATTAGTCATTACCTTGTAATTTCAGACATGCTGGAAGAACCTCAGTTTGTCATCTTGCCCTTGACTGGCAACAGGTACAGGACTGGAGTAATAGGATCTCATTTGAGCAAAGCATTCTGAGTAGGATATGGCTTTACTGAGGGTGACATTAGGAGTTCCAGTAAGGAATGTATTCGGCTGGGTCAAATAAATGCAACCAGCTTTGCTAAAAGCTTCAACCACTAACATTGCTAATGAAAACAAGAAGGAAGGAAGTATTGCTATTGCTCATAATATTTGTTGTTTTTCTAAGCCCCTCCCTCCCCCAGCTCCTGAAATAGTGGGATCTTGCAATTAGAGTCGGAGGGTGGCACACCTAGATCCAGTTGCAAGATTTGGCCCAAAGGTAGAAGATAAAGCTTCAATGGGAAGGAAGCTCCTATTGCTTCTTACATCCTTCCCCCCCTCAGTTCTTCTGCTACTTTTCACAATTGCTCTATGCAGCCTCTATGCAGTTTTTTCATCAGCAGATCTTTTTGTTATAATTATGTCACTTTGGTAATACCTGT